TTAATCCAGTTGTCATTCGTCTGGACACTGATGACTCCTCTGTGGAAGAATGGAGTGAACTTGATGAAGTTTAATTCTGTTATTATATATACAGATTATAATAGTATCCAGCCAGATATGCTCAAAGAAATATAACTTCTTTTAACAATGACAGCACTGACTAATTCCAACGACTTATAGTGTAACATGAAACACTCTTTTCACATAAAATTATCATGAAAATATAAATATTAACTATCTATATGCTTAAAGCTATTAGAAATGCATTGCTTAATTTGGAATGTGAACGACATCAAAACACAACACTTTTGTCTTCATTCTATCTTTTCTTCAATGAGTGTGCATGATTGTGTGTTCTTGTGTCCGAGGGAACGGGGCTTTAACAGTTGAGTTCTAACCATAGGTGGTCCGATTAATGATTTTGTGTAAATATACTTTCTGTGTTCTTTAAATGCATTTCCACTTCGGTACTGCATAAACAAAATATGACATTAAGATTACAAATTTAAAGATTTTAACCTACAGAATAATTCTCACTAATGGGTTTTGTGGTTAATGTTGAACAACTCAGAGAAACAAACTCCGTATGATGGTTAACAGTTGAGGTCGGTGGGGTAGCCTAGTGGTTAAAGCGTTGGCTCGTCACGTCGAAGACCCGGGTTCGAATCCCCACATGGGCACATTGTGTGAAGCCCATTTCTGGTGTCCCCCGCCGTGATGTTGCTGGAATATTGCTAAAAGCGGCGTAAAACCAAACTCGCTCAATCATTTCTTATATTGTAAACATACTTTTTTTCACTTGGTGCAAATTTCGCTGAATTGACAGTTTAGACTACATTACGCAGTCAATTATTACAGTTTGAGATCGACTGGGTCATTGGATGAAGAGATATTTACAAAAAAAACGGTTCCACATGCATTTCATGCCAAACTATAGGCTACTCTCACTGCCATCTAAAGGTAGGGTGGTATCATCTGCAAATTGAGCTAGGATGTATTCTACATTTCACTTTTTAATACCCTTTATATTTTTATTATTTCTGATAAGTATACGTAGAATTTCAGCACAAAAACCAAAAATGTATGGTGAAACAGGATGTCCCTGACGACAGCTACTGCTCATTGGAAGAACTGAACTAGCAAATCCACATATCATTAAAGAAAGTCTTTATCCAATACTTGGTCCAAATTTGAAAAATTTAAGTACATTTAATATAAAGTTTCTGTCCACTGAGTCAAATGCTTTTTCAAAGTCAGTAAGGAGTAAGAGACCTGGTATTTGATAAGATTCTGTATATTCCATAAGGTCATATATTAATCTAGTGACTTCGTCAATATATCTACCTGGTACAAGTCCCTTTTGATCTTCATTTAGTATTAAAGCTATTGGGAATTTTATGTTCATGATATATTGGTCATCACTTCAGAGTAGCATGTTGCATCAATTTACATTGGATGTAAAGTTTTCAAATGCAATTTGCACAGTTTCTAAATAAAGCAAAAAACAGCAGAGAACCACATTTTTTCTTTATACTTATCTCCAACAACAACCTGAACAGGAAAATCTAAAAAATGAAGCTAACCAATATTTTTCGATGATTGCTTGTTGGTTATGAACCAATCATCAATTATTGTGAGATTTCAACAATTCCCAACAGTAATTATAGTTTCAAACATTTATTTGATCTTTAGACACCACAGATACATAGTAGAAATGTTCAGTTCTGATTCATGAACAAGATTTTACAAATTGTCCCATCAATTCCATTTTTGTGATTGTGAAGACACCTTGCACATTTGTATGGATACGGGTATAAAAAATATTAGATGAGAAAAGTCACAATTTCCGATTCCCTGGAGGTCGCCATGTTTGACATACCTGTGATGTCACTAGCATACCAACTAACTTCAAACCGCATTGTCTTGTGTGAGAAGCTCGGGAGAGTTACCTCCCCGTATGCGCTGGAAACTTATCTCCCTTGACTCAATATACCCTTTGCGTAACATTCAAAATTGTTCAATTTTCGATATGGCGAATCACATAATTCCACAACTGTACATGTTCGAACCAGAATATGAGGAGAGTGAGGAGCCAGTTGCTGAGTTGTCGAATAGCGATATCGATGGAGACAGTCGATCAGATCGCGACGAGCGGCTTGGTAACACAGATTGGTGTCAGTGTGGCCATGCATTAGCATGACCACATCTCGTGAATGCTTTTGCTGTGAGGAGTGGGAAATAAAAGCTCAGAGACAGCGCTAACCTATTGTAAATACAAATTCTAGCCTGTGCCGAACCCTACCTATATGGTATAGGTAGGGTTCGGCACCGTCAACCATGCTGACGATTTGCACGAAAGACTTGTGCTTGTTGGAAATTTTGAAAAAAAAACGTGAATGTAATAATATATTTATAGGAATGTGAGAATAATAAGCGATGATTTTTTATGCCCCAGCCATATATATGGCAGGGGCATATAGGGTTACCCTCGGTGTCCGTCCATACGAAACAGGGAATGTATTCTATCCACTCCTCCACCATAACCGCTCTGTGGAATTCAATGAACTTATACATGGGCTTTCTTGGGACTCTAATAGTGCATCTCATATTTTTGTTTTTTTTATTGTATTGGAGGGGCGGTGGGGTAGCCTAATGGTTAAAGCGTCCGCTCGTTCGTCACGCCGAAGACCCGGGTTCGAATCCCCACATGGGTACAATGTGTGAAGCCCATTTCTGGTGTCCCCCCCCCGTAATGTTGCTGGAATATTGCTAAAAACGGCGTAAAACCAAACTCAGTCAGTCAGTTATTGTATTGGTTTTTTTGTAAGTTTAGAGACATTTGAACTTAGGTACATTTTGCTGAATTTCTCTATGATGATAGTGTAATAGGGGATGAAGTCTATCCACTCTCCACAAAAACTGCTGAACAGAATTGAATGAACTTCTACATGTCTTTTGTAGGGACTCTAAAGGTGTGCATTTCATAATTTTTTATGCAATTTCTTAATTTTGTCACTTTTACAGATGATTGAACTTAGTTGAATCTCGTTCTATTCAGCCAGTGTTCGTTCCATCCAACAGGGGGTGTACGTTATCCACTTCTCCTCAAAAACTACTTTATGGAATTCGTTTAGTTTACACATGTGCTTTATAGGGAGTCTAAAGGTGTGCATCTCATATTTTGATTTTGTATTTTATCTATTTTTCCAATTTTAATGCCGTTTAAACTTGCATAAATTTTGTTGAATTTCTCTCGGAATATAGTGTTATAGGGGATGAAGTCTATCAACTTCTCCACAAAAGCTGCTCAACAGAATTGGCCTTCTATGTGTGTTTCATTGGGACTCTAAAGGTGTGCATCTCATACCTTGTTCATCCAATTTCTTAATTTTGTCACTTCTACAGATGTTTGAACTTGAATTGGCTCTATTCATCCAGTTCGTCCCATACAACAGGGGGTCTACTTTTTATCCACTTCTCCTCAAAAACCACTTCACAAAACTCATTTAGCTTACATATGTCTTTTATAGAGACTCTAAAGGTGTGCATCTCATATTTTGTTTTCGTATTTTATAATTTTTTGTATGTTTAGAGAATTTTGAACTTAGATAAATTTTCCTGAATTTCTCTCTGATGATAGTGAAATAGGGGATTAAGTCTATCCACTTCTCCACAAAAACAGCTAAACAGAATTGATTAAGCTTATACATGTGTTTCATTGAGACTCGAAAGGTGTGCATGTCTTAGTTGCATAGATGTTTATTGAACTTGTTCGTGAATTTTGTTCAATTATTGATCTTTATATGTCTTATGAATGTCAGCGGGGGCATCCGTGTCCCTGGACACAATTTTTTCTTGTTTCTAAACGGGTCCAACTTACTTATAGTAGACCTAAATTCATGCCAGTGCACTGGTGGTGCCTACAGAGGCTGTAGACCAACATTAGTTTTTTTGCACGACAGAATACGCTGGAAATTACCGAGCTACAAAACAATCGCAATAGTTTCCATTTAAATTATTTGCAAGTTAGATAGTTCTATACCGAAAGGAATTAACGTTCTAACATGCTAAATAATAAGGCAATGGCATCAACACAATTATTTACCTTGTGCCTCCCAAATGTGGAGGTCGCCGATGTCTAGCCAGTGCCAATGTTGTGCAGCCATCTATCAGCAAGCATTTTTTTCCCTGGATGTTTGGAGGCGTTTCGGATTTGAAAATATGACTTCCCATATCCCGATGTCCCTTCGCCTCGGTCGTTTATGTTTGAACACCCCCAAGCTTGACACAGTGGCATGTCCAGACTGCACTGTATTACCAATGCGGCAATGGTAAACGCTTCGATTTAACGCTTCTGTGGTGTGTAGCGTACGTCATAATCTCGCGATCTCATGCTCTTGTTGCCTTGCGAGACCAAAACATGGCAGCCTCCACGGAATGACAGAAGAGCGAGTCAGTTACTTTTTTCTCTTTAACTAGAATTTTTTTTTTTAAATATGATGCGTTATTACTTTAGAATAGATGGTTAAAAGTTTGTTTTTGAGTGGAATTGTCCTTTAAGGGGAAGAAAGGTACACTGCAAACTTTGATTATATTCTTAATTCAAGAATGACAATTTAAACAATTGAACTTAAATTTGAAATTTAAAGGTTCCATTTTTTTCAAATTTGGGAACACATTTGTCTAGAGGAGAGATGCAGTGTAAAGTTTGGTTCTGAGTTTCATATTTTTGATAGAGTTACGTCCATTTATGTATTTTGAACTAAACATAAAACGTGTCATGTATTCAAGGGAATTGTTTTTCAAGCAATAACTTGTACACATTAATTTTGAATGTGTTGTTTTCAAATATATTTTCTTTGTTTATAGGAAAGGTCAGTGTAATGTTGGATACAGATCTTGTATTTTTGCCAAGAATAATAGTTGTTCAGCTGCGAGTCACAGTAGGGGGGTATTACTTAACCTTGCTCACATTTTTTGGCTTGTTTGTATTGTTTCAGACTGAGAGATCGTTTCAGCGCCAACCCACTGTGTTTTTAAACAAAAAGTCCCTCCTATCTGGTAAGGGCAAAAAGAACTTGCGCTATGTGAGAAATGTTGGCCTGGGTTTTAAAACCCCCAGAGAGGTAAGTGAAGTAAATATACTTAATCTACCCTGCCACAATCATGGGCGTAACTTCTTTTACGCAAAGTATTCATTTGCGTACAACAATTTTGTCCATCTATAACTATTTTTCCTTATCCTGACTCATGGTCTTTTTGCTTGTCTTCTTCTTCTTGCGAACATAGTGGAACACTTGTATCTCCCTAACTGAAGCTCCCTTCAATTTAAAATCACTAATCAATACTCACCAAGAGTTGTCTCTCTTGTCCCTTTTGGCGGGAAAGGTGGCGCCACCACATCCCACATGCTTCACTCTCTCCTTCTTCGCCCAGTGCAGGATGTGTGAGCGCGCCTGTGTCTCCCTACGGCACTATATCCTTTGATTATTCTTACTTAGTTACCTCTACAAGTCTCTTATAGAGGTTTAGCTAGTATCCTTCAACAATATGGTTTAATATTTATTCGTATTTACTCGTATTTACTACTGTTTATTCGCGGGACGCCGTGATTGTTCAGTAGATTACGTTGATGAAAAAATCTGTACTGTTTGCAAGTTACGTTTTTCTGCTGCTGATCCGCATTTAATATGCCCTAGCTGTACTGTACCATGTGCTTTCAGTTCACGTTGCAGTTTCTGTATTAATTTATCTCATTCTGCTTTTAACAAATATTTACTTTGCGTCTTGAGATGCGCAGCAGATAGGTCACGTAAACAGAGTCTAGGCATGGCTAATGCTACTGAACCCCTCGCAAGTCAACTGCTGTCCGACGACCTCCTCCCGTCTGGTGTTCCGCTGGAGTTACCCTCTGAGGAGAGGCGTGGGACACAGTCCGCCATCTCCAAGAAGCGTCCTGCATCACCAGACATCCCGTCTTCGCAGCCTAAGACTAAGAGGGCATCTACGTCACAACGCAGACTCCGCACCCCCAGGGCAGTGTCTACCACCAAGGGGAAAACAACGCAATCAGCTAGAACTTTCTCAGACGAGATTGTTCCCGCCGCAGAACAGGGCCTGTATGATGAGCAGCCGCTCATCATACCTGATGTTCATTGCAAGAAACGACCGGTGTCAGCTACAGTGACGTCAGCGCAGATCCCCAATCAGCCCGATGTATCTACACTGAGGACTGACGATCTTCCCATGGGTCACGTCGCTACCAACGCAGATAGGGCAGCTACTACAACTTCGCAGACCGTCCCAGGCGACCTGGTTCATCAGATTATGAAGTTGATGGAAGACCGCTACGGACTGGAGAAAAAGAAACAACCAGCCCAGGACCTGAGGGACCCCCCGGGGAACCCCCGTCAACGTAGCGGCTGCTACCAAGTCACCACTGAGGGACCAGCCTACGCGAAGGACGTCACAGTCTATCTCTGCGAAGGACCCAGACGATCAGCGTTCGCGAAGGCCTTCCCGAAGGACACCTACATCGTCACCAGCCTCGGACTCTGATGATCAACATTCGCGAAGAAGAATCCTCTCATCCCCGGACTCTGCCTCGGACCACTAGCCTTCGCGAAGGTCAAGTCGTCACTCCCCAGGACCGGACTCAGATGAAGCTTCGCGAAGGTCTTCGCGAAGGACTCCAGTTACAGACTCCAAGTCATCTTCGTCTAGAAGGTCATCGAGGGATTCCCCAAAAGCTTCGCGAAGCTATCGTCATTCACCGCAACGTACATCTCCGCTTCGAAGGTCACCGTACAGACGCGGCTCGTCATGCCGTTCTCCACGTCGATCTCCTCGCCGTTCACCTTGTCGATCGCCTCACAGGTCTCCACGTAGATCACCACGCAGGACACCTCATAGATCAGCACTTCGCACACCTCATAAGCCTTCGCGAAAGTCTCCAGTCAGGTCTCCTCATACGTCGCCATGCACAGCTGTTCAAGTATACAGAACTCCACCTCAGTCACCATCGGAAGAGTATCATCGGCCTTTTACCAACGCTCCGGATACCGAAGATGATGGAGGCATCATATTCTCCGACGCAGAGATACGCTACTGGATGGCCAACAACCTGGACCTGGCTTCGCCGTCTAAAGACAGCAACCTGGCTCACACCTATCTCATGAGGGAGGACGACGCAAACACGATCACCCTACCTCCGATTGACCCTATAGCAACGGTTCCACAGAACTTGGATACAGCTTTCCAAACAGCTACTAAAGCTCAGGCGCCACACTTACCTCATGTCAACGCCAAGAAGTTCTTTGCTCATAACATGGACCCATTCTACAAAGCTCAAGAAATCGACGATAACTTTAAAGTCATCAACGATGCCAAGGCCAAGATGTACAAGATCGAGGATCGCAAGCTGGCTCAAGTCGAAACTATGACCAGAAGAATGTTTTTCGGCCTCAACAGATCCAGAACTATTAATGAAACTCTCATCACTAGATTCCAAGATTCTACATCAGAAGACGACAGAATGATATACTCGGCCCTCCTTATGCAGAAGAAGGACCAGCAATTCTTGACGGATCACCTTTCATCCATCTCAGCAGCTCTTACTCAGGCTCGTCGTCAAGGTCTCCTCGCCACCTGTAGTTGGGGTGAACAGTTCACAGCACCTCTATTCACAGCCCCATGGTCAACGCCTTCCATCTTCGCTGGAGGAATTGATAAAGTCTCTAAAGAAGTCATCAAGGATTCAAGAGAAGTCCTCATGATTAAATCGATTGACACTCTGACTAGCGTCATCAAGCAGACATCACAGAGATACTCCGGAAGGTCAGTTCACTGGTTTACAGAGAGCACGGGACAGGAAGATGGTCAGATCCAGAGGTGGAAAGGACTCTTTTCGCCGCTCATTCGGCAACTACAGGGGAGGATCTGGAAGAGGCAGGGCACCCAGAGGCTCCCGCAACTATCGACGTTGAAAGACGGGTTCGGAACGACTGGAGTCTTCCACCCCCAGCCGTTCCTGTACAACCTTCACAAGTGGGTGGACGTCTTCAACTGCACTGGGAGAACTGGGGAATACTACAAGATCCATATGTCTCCAACATCCTTCAACACGGATATCGAATCCAACTACAGGCCACGCCTCCGCTTACAGTCAACCCTCACAAGTTCGACTTCCAGGCACAACAACTACTAAAGTTACGAGAAGCTGTTTCATCTCTCCTAACCAAGCAAGGCCATAGAAATCGTGGATCAAGTAAACATCGAGCCAGGTTTCTACTCCCCAGTTTTCCTAGTGCCCAAGAAAAATTCCAAGGAAAAGTTCCGACTCATCTACAACATGAGCATGTTCAACAGGGATAATCTACGCAAACCGCCAACGTTTCGCATGATACATCTACCTCAACTACGGCACCTGGTTCGTCCGATGGACTACATGGCCAGTATAGATCTACAGGATGCCTACCTGCATATCCCGATACATCCCGACTCGAGGAAGTACCTACGGTTTATTCTAGACGGGCTACATTACCAATGGAGGGTACTACCTTTTGGAATATCATCGGCCCCCTGGTTGTTCACAAGAGTAACGAAACCCATCGTCACTTACCTACGTCGTCAAGGGCTACGCAGTGCGTTCTACTTCGATGAGATTCAAGTAGATCAAGATCCAGAGCATCTCAAACTACAACTGAATTTCACCATCAAGCTACTAACACAGCTAGGATGGTTAGTGAATCTACTCAAGTCGGACCTAGAACCTACGCAAGACCTGCAATTTCTAGGCAATCGATTCCTCACGACACAGAATCGTATCGTCGTACCAGAGGACCGATGGCTCAAGATCCAACAGACCATTCCAATAGCCTTACTCTCTCCGTTACCACTACGTCAGTGGCAGAGTCTGTTGGGTCTCGTCATGTCAGCACAAGACATGACAGCCAGAGGCAGACTACAGTTACGCCCGTTACAGGTCCTCATCAACGCTCATCTCGACGACCTTCAACCATTCGGTCTACCGAATTACCTCAGAGTTCATCTACTTTGGTGGACCAGAAAGTCGAATGTTTGCGAAGGCATCTATTTAACAGAGCCGGAGTTCAAACCAATCTCTATGCAGACGCGTCGCTCCAAGGTTGGGGAGCTCATCTCGCCAACCGGACGGCATCAGGGTTATGGAACCAAGAAGAGAGCAAACTGCACATAAACATGCTCGAAATGAAAGCAGTAATCAACACCCTACTTCATTGGAGCACCATTCTACAGAATGCACACCTAATGATCCACACCGACAACTCAACAGTGGCGTTTTATATAAACAAACAAGGTTCAACGAGATCATTGAACCTATTGACTCTATGCTTCCAACTGTTCGATCTGATCGACGATCTAAACATACATGTCAGAGCATGCCACATTCCCAGAGCCAAGAATGTACTAGCACATGCACTCTCTCGGCCATATCTACCGTCTCCGACGGAATGGAAACTCCACCCAGAAATCTTCGCTCAGATTATCATGGAAATAGGAGCTCCATTAATAGACCTATTCGCCACTCGCTTCAACAATCAGCTAACAACATTCGTCTCACCAGTCCCGGATCCACAAGCGTGGGCAACGGACGCTCTAAGCATATCCTGGGAAGGCCTCAACGCATATGCGTTTCCGCCGCCAGCGCTAATACCAAGAGTGTTACAGAAAATCAGACAAACTCAGAGCATCCAACTGATTTTGGTCGCGCCCTACTGGCCAGCGAGAACGTGGTTTCCCATTCTAATTCAAGAAATCGGACAACCAATACTACAACTACCAAAGCGCTCGAATCTACTTGTACATCCTCACACAAAACAAGCGCACGAAAACCCAGGAGCATTCCAACTTCACGTATGGACTGTATTAAAGTGTGTTTAAACAAGAGAGGTTATTCAGCCAAGGCGGCAAAAGCAGTCATGCTTGCTTTGCGCAACTCTACGCGCAACTTGTATGATGACAAGTGGCACAGTTTTGAGACATACGCTGCTAAACAGGGATTTACAGCTAGAAATGCTACACACCCTCAAGTGGCAGACTACCTTTGTCACCTACGACAAACCAAACGTCTAAAAGGCTCGACACTATCTACGTATCTCGCAGCATTAAGTTCAGTGATAACTATGAGAACGGGTGTCAAGTTAAAGAAGACGCCAGAGTTACTGGCCTTGCTACTTTCATTCCGATTGGAGGATCAGAAACAGAGATTTCGCGCTCCAGCATGGGATCTAAATATAGTGCTCCAACACCTCACAAGTGAGGCTTATGAACCACTGGAATCAACATCATTCGAATTTCTGACGCAGAAAACACTGTTCCTGCTATCCCTAGCAACGGCAGCCAGAGTATCAGAAATCCACGCTCTAGACTACGAGAGAACACGTTTCGATGAGAATCAAAACACAGTGCATATAGGACTGCGATGGGACTTTATTGCCAAGAATCAAATGCCAGGTCAGCCAGACAGATTATTCCACGTCCCTGCACTTTCCTCGATACTCGGACCTCATGATATGCTTGATCTATCATTATGCCCAGTGAGAGCACTCAAAATTTATTTACAACGATCCAAAACGAGGCGAAGGAAACTCAAGCGGTTATTCATCCCTCATCCCTCTATCTACAGCGACTGAGACCGAAGTCTCACGTACCACGATATCGATATGGATCAGAACTGTCATACTTCGAGCCTACAAGGCTGCAGGACTCGACCCTCCAAGAGCATCTAATCCTCACGAAATCAGAGCACTGGCTTCAACATTCGCTCTACATGGAAATTGCTCGTTGAATACCATTATGGAGGGCTGCTTTTGGAAATCCGACATGGTGTTTGCTAACCACTACCTGAGAGATATCGCCACCGAGGACGTCTCAGGTATTCACCATTTCGGACCATTGGTTTTAAGCACAGCAGTTGACAGTTTCTCGTAGACGATGAGACATAGTCTCACGAGATTATATCTGTATATATTCTCAGTATTTAGCAAGTTTACAAACTCTGCGGAGTTTTTGCTAGTTGTATATCTTAAGCCTACATTAGTCTTAAAACCCAGTACCTATGTTACATGTACTTTGGGGTCGCTTCTCCACTTTGGAGTCGCTTATTCCTATATTATGTTAATATTGTAGTACCCCCATCTATGGCAGCTGGTAGAACTTATGTATGATAGCAGCAGAAATTAATTTAATTACAGTGCCATTATGAAGTTCCCGTAGGGGGTTATTACATCTAAATCACTAATTAAAATCCAAAAAATCTGTTCCCACCTCCGATTCCGTCGGATTCTACAAGCAAAAAGAGCATGAGTCAGGATAAGGAAAAATATGTAATTTTCTGAATAGAATTGATATTTTATACTTATCCTGACTCTTGAGGTAAGCCCTCCCATCCTCCCCACATGACACTTTTGGATTTCCCTGAAAATTCAAGTGTCGGGCTCGTTAAACAGGAGAGAGTGAAGCATGTGGGATGTGGTGGCGCCACCTTTCCCGCCAAAAGGGACAAGAGAGACAACTCTTGGTGAGTATTGATTAGTGATTTTAAATTGAAGGGAGCTTCAATTAGGGAGATACAAGTGTTCCACTATGTTCGCAAGAAGAAGAAGACAAGCAAAAAGAGCATGAGTCAGGCTAAGTATAAAATATCAATTTTATTCAGAAAATTACATTTTCGTGTAGATTTACCCGAAAACGTTATATTTTTGTTATTATTTCGACCCGGATACGCACAAAAGGCTTTTCACAAGGCCACTGAGAGTGTCGCATACTCCACGCACCGGTATAAGTTTGGCTCATGTCGGTGTCATCAGGTCCGCTGTTATATTAGTAGCATGCTCAGTGTCAAAAGAGTTGTCTCCCTTACAAGTCATCAGGGGACGTTACTCTCCGTTATTGACTCAGCAAAATGAAGCGTGCAACGGCCGCCACACATAAAATTGAAACTTATTTCAAATGCAAAGCCATTACTGTCTTTTGAAGTCACTATGTTAGCAGTTTGAACTTTCAAGTGTGTCAACATGACTGTATTAAATGACTTTCACTTTGGAAACTTTGTATGTGTTTTGAGTTCAAGGATGATTCACACTTCAATATCATTTCCGTATCTACGCATATTGATGTTGTTTTTATCCCCCGCAACGCGTTTTGTCCGGGGTATTAAAATGGACTCCGTCTGTCCGTGCACATTTGTCTTTTCCGGAGCAGAACTCTAAAACCGTTCAATATTTCTTCACCAAATTTGGCACATACATGGATCTGGTGGTGTTCTGGTGCCTTTGGGTAGTTTTGGAATTCTGAATTAAATATTTTTGGCGTTTCCATGGCAACAAGTTCGACTTTGACTGAAATTAGTGGTAGTGCTCTTTTCCGGAGCAGAACTCTAAAACTGTTCAATATGTCTTCACCAAACTTGGCACATAGATAGATCTGGTGGTGTACTGGTGCCTTTTGGTAGTTTTGGAATTCGGAATAAAATATTTTTGGCATTTCCATGGCAACAAGTTTGACTTAGCCTGAAATTGGTGATAGTTCTCTTTTCCGGAGCAGAACTCTAAAACTTTAAAAACCTTTCACTACTCTCCTTCCACTTTTCTATATACACACCTAAATATTTGACATAATCATAACTCGTAGACATAATCATGAAGAGTATTTTGCCATTGCGGGGGATATTGATGACTTTGTCTTCTTGTTGAATTTCTATTGAAAATTATCACTAATCGTACAATTTGTCTCTAGGGCTGAATATTGAGATAAATCAGGATATACTATGTCTTAGTATGTGTCAGTCAAATAAAATGTCACGAAAAACACCCAGAGCATCTTAAATCATCTACAGAAATACCCTAAAGTATATTGGTTTCCCCCAAAGATCGTATTAGATTATGCTAATTTGCTCTTGAAAATATCGCTAATTTACTTCTTAAAATGCCCCAAAACCCCTCTAGCAGGCTCGAGAGCTACGCGCTATCGCGAACAACAACTCTCGACTTAACTGTTGCTATTTGCATACAATTTCTTTTTTATAAGTTACGCCCATGACAATGGTTAGGTCTACTAATGCCTACAGGGAAAAAGAGCTACAAAGTTTGTTGTGACAGTGATACGCTTACCTGCACACAACTAGACTGTTCCAATTAGTGTGGGGGAGTAAAGAGTAATTGTCCAGTTTTTGTTTTGAAAACTTGCATGCATTTAATTTTGGAAGAACCTTCAACACAGAAAGTCTTTGTTCTGTATTTACTGTAGGCAAAAGTGCACACTCAAATTGGACATACCACTTTAATGAAAGGTTGAAAGCAGTAAAATTGAAAACCATTTGTGCGTAAAACTGTTTATCTAAGACTGTAGGCGTTATTCCGTGTAGGCATTAGTAGACTCCGCCGCCACAATGTGTTAGTGAGTGCATCACTCAAGACTGTTCAGCATTGTGCAAGTTTGCAGATACCTTCCAGCAATAAACTTGTGCCTTTTCTTATGCTTTCTATTTAGTAAGTTTGGAAATATTTACTTTTCATGACTTCTGAATCCAATTAGTAAATCATTTGGGTTACCTCACTTTGCACACAAGTGGTCATGTGACTACTTTTGTGTTATTCAGAGATGGCTAAATGTATCGGCCAGCTGGCCTCATATTAATCAGCTTTGATTTGGCATCATTCAATTTCATCAAAGTTTTGTACAAGGTAGAGCAGATTATTAGAAAAACATAGCATATTTTCATGCTTGTTAATATTTCACGTGTTCCAAAACACCCATGTAATTGGCAGGTTAATGATAGGACACACTCAGGATTTAGGATGTCGTCTGTTGTACATATTTTAGGTACACAGGAAAGAGGATATATGTACATTGATGCATTGCATCAAATCTTTCCTGCCCAAAAAACTCAGACAAAAAACATGAAAACAAATCAGTGTAACTGTGAGTTGTTTAAAGTTTTAACTGGTTATTAAGAAATAACTGACCATATGAAAAAGCATGATTCATACATTATATACAGTGAACTGCTGTATACGAAAACACACTGAATGGTTATAGAATAAGAAAATGTACTGTTGATAGTAATAGTAGATTACAGAACACATGGGAGGTAATATCAGTCTCTTCTCTGGCTTGATTTTCAAGGGGACACTTGGACCCCCTTCATCATAAAACTGGGGGTACCCCTAAAAATATGGAGGGGTCCATTTTATAGCATTATGCTACGGAAGTGTTAAGTTAACACTCTGCACTGGTTGGTTTTTGAAGTAATACAATAAACAAAAATAGAAACTCACATATGTTACTTTATGTCCCAAAGATATCCATCAATTGTTTGATGCATCGTTACAGTCCTACAAGACCTACATTCTTACCTGCCTCATTACCATTTTCAACATTTCCTGTAACTATAAGGCATATGAAGCTGAAATTGTACACAAACAATCCCAGATTTGATCAATGATGGAAGTCCTTAGACAATTATGGTCTAATTTTCATTGGGGCTGTCTCAGCAGCAATTTTGAAAGTGCCATTTATGCCCATCATTTGGCAAGAATCTTTTGTTGGTTGATCTTTTTCAACATTAACTGATTCTTCATTTAAAATATACGAGACATTATTTTTAACTCGATGAATTAGAAGAATTTCCGTTAAAAATGATAAAACGTGATAAATGTCCTTTTAAGATTGTCCTGAGAGCACATTACTGAGTGTCTGCAAACAACTTTGACGTTACATTGAACACGGTGATTGAATTAATAAGCGCTTCAATTAGTACTGTTGTGTGTGAGTTATTCACAAATCTTGGTTAGTCAGTCACTGTGAATGTTAAAGGCGATCTATAATTTTGGGAATCTGTATGTCATATGCTTTCCTTTGTTACAGGCTATTGATGGCACATACATTGACAAGAAGTGCCCTTTCACTGGCAATGTGAGCATTCGTGGGCGGATCTTGTCAGGTGTTGTTCTCAAGATGAAAATGCAGAGAACCATTGTCATTCGAAGGGAATATCTACACTATGTGAAGAAATACAACCGATTTGAAAAACGTCACAAGAATATGTCTGTTCATCTGAGCCCATGTTTCAGGTAAGAAATCACTGATGGCAACTGATAAACAATGACGTCATTAGAACTTACACACAAGGTGTACATGTGTGTGGTTCTTGTGTATCAATGCGTTTTAACCCTCATGGTTCCTGACTGTCTCTTGGCTTTGTGTACCGCTTTGTTCAGTCATTACATCGCGGTTACAAATGCGTTCTTATTTCTGCATACAGTGTAACCAAATTGTACAATATTCTACTTGTCTTTCCAACCAAATTCAATTTCAGCTGATCCAAAGCCTTCATGCACTGGGTCCACCAAACCCGCTGTGAAAGTCATAGGTTAAGGTTGAAATTTTTAAAAATATCCATATACATCCCGAACATGAATGCACTTGGCAGTTCGGGAAATTCCCTCTTCTCTGATATCATCTCTTGCACTGAAGGCAAAATTACTGACAACTACATACCTTGTATATCTTGCCATTTTTGTACCATTACTAAAGCACCATTATCAGAGTTATTTAGTGTGTAATTTGAAATCTAAATATCGAATATGTTCTCAGAGAATAAATTTCATAACAGTGTTTGAAATTAGTAATAGACCCATGAAGGTCCGGGGTAGAATAGGTCTTCAACAACCCATGCTTGTCATAAGAGGCGACTAACGGGATCGGGTGGTCAGACTCACTGACTTGGTTGACACATGTGATCGGTTCCCAATTGCGCAGATCGATGCTCATGCTGTTGATCACTGGATTGTCTGGTCCAGAATCGATTATTTACAGACCGCATAGCTGGAATATTGCTGAGTGCGGCGTAAAACTCAACTCACTCATTAGTATTTAGACAGAAAATTATTGAATAGCAACTTTGACAGCAACTTTCATTAAATCAATCTGCATTTACTGTTGACCAATATCAAGACCTTTGTTTCCTGAAGAAATCCTTTATGTTGGTGTACAGGCTTTGTTGGCGTAAGTATGTTGGTTGGTATTGTTGTTAAGTTGATGTCTTTGTTATTTAAAATTTTCGTTTTGCCTTGCAGAGATGTGACCATCGGTGATGTGGTGACTGTTGGTGAGTGCCGCCCACTAAGCAAAACTGTCCGCTACAATGTGCTGAAAGTTGCAAAAGGCAGCGGGTCAAAGAAAGCCTTTCAAAAATTCTGAATGGATCACCTAGTGGGTAAATAAAGGATTTGAGGTCCACTTGTTGTGTTTTTGTTTGTTTGCAGAGACTTTGGCTTGGCCTCTTCCAAGTAGACCTGTAACTTGGTAGGATTCCCATTACTGATCATGCCGATGCCTGCTTTGTTCAGAAGGTTTGATCTCACCGAAAGAAAAAAACACACTTCCAGTCACCATGCTTGCAATTCTGATCCCAAACATATTGTACATAGCAATGTTTTTCATCTATGAAAAGTCTGTAGTGCATATTCGTTCAGGATACGCCAGAGGATGGAAAGCATTTGATACTGCACCATCAAACGCAGTGTAGTAACAGAAAATTCTACCAGACACCAGGACTGGTAACTCTGAAAACTTACCAGCGCAACTTTAATTTCACATTTCAGCTCAGCAAAATAAACCAACAAACTATGAAGTATCTTTGCTTCCATATTTATTGCTGTTGCATGCCTCGCTACGATTGGCCCACTCAGCATTACATTAGTGTAATCTACTTGACATGAATTCCATGAAATTGAATCACCGAACCCAACCGCCAGCCCTCCACAGACTTAACCCGTCTCGGCCGTTCAGGTGGGCAATAGTTTCCTAATTACAGCCAGTACAGTAAGGTCAGATGCAGCTTATTCAGCTGAATATATCTTACTCAGCTGATTTTCTCAAAGCTCTTTCTATGGGTTTCAAATGAAATTTGTTGTATCTAAGTCAAAGGCTGCAAATAATTTACTACTTCAATACCTGGGAATAGAAAACAAGGTGTTTGTCTCCAGTCTTCCATGAAATGTGAGAAACTAGACACTCTTTGAATAAGTACATGTATGTGTGTTATGCTGAATTTACCAAATGTATGTTAGAATTCTTTCCAGAGCAAGAGTAAGGGTAATACTTGAATTTTGTAAAATAAGCATGTGTGCACATTTGAAAATTTCTATATTTCCAAATATTTTTTAATCCTTTCCTTCAGAAAAATGCACTGACCCTCTCTCAATTCCAAGATTGTCCACCAACCTCAGCAATTATCTGTTATAAAGGTTTCTAGTGTGAGATCATCCTGACTTGGTGACAAAAAGATTCCAATGATATCATTGATGACTTTGGGATAAGATAAATATACTCATGGAGACAAATAAGGGAACACATGAAAGTACATGTGTTCCTCTATTTCCAGAAATTCACTCAAACAGTGCAATACAGACATTGTGAAGAAACTTGGAAAAGAATAAGGGAACACTTGTACCTTCACATGTTCCCCTATTCGTTTCCATGAGTTTAGAAGGTTCTGTGGACATCCATAAGAAATCTTTTGATTCCAATTCCAACTATATGGTGAGAAGGTATTTAAGGCTGAATTCAGCAGTATTACAGGTTTATGACGACAGTCTGTAAACTATGGAAATCTGGAACAGATAACCCATGGAATGACATGAAACACTGACAAAGCATGTGTTTATGAATCGTGATAGTGATATGAATAGTGATGATCCCAAGTGTTCATGTGAATGTGAGTGTGAGTGTATCATGCTAACCGGTGGCACCCTTCATGAATGTATGCAAAGGCTAATCAGATTTTCACCTCAAAATATTTGAGAATGTATGATACAAGCCAAAATAGGGACTTACCTTGCACATCATACCATTCTCCAACAGTGTTGAAGACCTTGGGCTTGACCTTACATTAAGGTCACACATTGACAACGTCTGCAAATCTTGCTATTTCCAGCTGAGAAATGTCAGCAACATCAGAAGTTCCTTAACAATGCCAGCTGCTCATGCGCTTGTTAGATCCATAGTGCAACAGCGCCTGCTACGTATTGCCAGAGAAACACATCTCAAAACTACAAAGAGTACAAAACTCAGCAGCTCGCATTGTCAAAAAAGTGTCCAAGAGAGAACATATCTCCCCCAGTTTTACGAGCCTTACACTGGCTGCCTATAAGAGCCAGAGTGGAGTATAAAATCCTGAGTCAAGCCCACCAGTGCTATCATGAAACTGCTCCCGACTACCTCAATGATGTTCCATCGAGAGCCTTACGATCAGCTGATCAACATCTATTGGTCATCCCAAGACGCAAACTAAAAGCCTTTGGTTTCCGCTCCTTTAGTTATGGAGCTCCAACACTATGGAACCAGCTGCCACTTGAACTCAGACAAACAACATCCCTTGATTCCTTCAAATGTGCCTTAAAAACACTTCTCTTTAGAAAATACTACAAACATATCCTCAATAGATTCAACTCTTTTATGTACAAATGTTTTTATGTCTTGTAGCACTCCAATCACCTTTATATGTAGCGCTTTGAGTATACATTTTTGTATGGAATCCAGCGCCGTATAAAAACACATATTATTATTATTACCGATACGGGCTAGGATACACAGGTGATTATTTTTGTGATAATCGCACGTGCTTTTCAGTGATTCTCAACGTTGATTGGTCAGCTAAGCAGAGAAGAAATATGATTGGTTGACGGAACTACTTTTCATGATTCAAGTTCATTGACAACTTTTACCGTTTCATTGATAATTAGAACGTGCTGTTCTCACACATTCCGAGATTTAAAAAAGAAAACATAAAGGTTAAAGAATATGAATACACATTTTATTAGACATTATTATTTTGCGATAAAATTGCATTATAAATTGTAGTCATTTTAAAATAAAAACCCCTCCCCCCCAAAAAAAAACAAAACAAAAACCAACCAAACAATCGTTTGCACACACTCAGGCACAGCGATGACTTAACATAACATCACTGCCACAGGCTAATTATAATTTACTATGCTGGCTTGCCGCATGGAACTCTGGGTAGGAGAGTGTCGTCTGCATTGTTTGTAAACAAACATGGCCGCCATTTGGCTAACCCCGATTAAGGCCAAAACACGTCTCATCCAGACCCTCTCTAAAAAGGTGTACCAGCACATCAAATCATGCAAATTTCCTGGCACAAAAATGTTCAATTTCAATAAACAGTTACTCTTCAATTAATGAGAAACAACATCAGTCCATCTATAAATTGTTGTCAAACCTTTGTAACTCCACGGCTCTGTCCACTCAGCCTCAGCCTCAGGCTGCTACCATGACATCAGTCTTTGTCGCATTCTGCAATTCTTCATTCTGTACATACACTATTCTTAGGTCCAATTTATGGTGGTGTATTCCACTTCAACTCCGAATGACTCCTCTGTCAGTCGACCATCTGCTCCAAAGAGGCGTATTCTTCCCATTGACTCAGATTCCGACTAGAGTAATCCTTCATGGAACCGCTGTACTCTACTGGGACCAATGACGTGACTGTAACACGCCTTCCACAGAACAAAATGTTGTTTTATCTTCAAACTTGTTGAGTTTCTTGACAGAAAACGTTTTCTAGATGTATTCGTGGGATGGTTGTCTTTTAGATTTTCCAACTTTAACCGTTGACTTTCCCAAAATTGACAGGTTTTTGCCAAAGTGTGTTTCAACACTACACCGTCACCCGTCACTAGACACACTTGTCGTGAATGAACGATGTTCCGTCGCACTGACTTGATCAAATAAATGTTTAGCTGTTATTAAGTTCAATGATATATTTAAGAGATCAGTTTTATCATATTAACAAATGTTTTCATTGTTGTGTCATTGTATGACAGGGATCGCGTTCCGTCATTGGGGTTAACAACAGATGATTGAAAGTCTGTCAGCACTTAGTGTAACATGTTACCAGCATGCACGACCTTGGATCACTCTTTCTTCAGTGTGGATCAGTGTCATGCATGAGAGTGAGTGGGTGAGTTATCAAATATGTTGTTAAAGGATTCTCCAGACAAACGAGAATCTAAGCGGGACAACTCTTTGATATCTTTCATATACACAGAAAGTTAACTAAAGACAGCCTACTTTTCAAGAACACTGTTTCAAATTACTCACCTGATAAGGATGAACTGTGAACAGATGAACCTGAAACTGTTCCAGGGACCATCTCAACAATTTTAGCAGAGCAAACTTAATGACTCACAAAGGTGTCTTTAAAGACATAATCTGTTGTTGATACACATCAAATGAACCAATACTGGCAAAAAAAGCCAGAAACTTCACGTGGTACTTTATGTCCCAAAACATACCCACATAGGACAAAGTGTGTTGCAAGTGGAGAAATCTGGTTTATGGACGTGATGAGTGTACAATAAACAGTGAGTGAGTGAGTTTAGTTTTACGCCGCTTTTAGCAATATTTCAGCAATATCACAGTAAGGAACACCAGAAATGAGCTTCACACATTGTGCCCATCTGGGGAATCGAACCCGGGGTCTTCATTGTGACGAGCGAACACCTTAATCACTAGGCTAGCCCACCGCCCCTAGGGTCAACAGAGCACTCTTGGGTCTAGCCACGTATAAGAATTTGGTGAGATACCGCGTACGCCGATGGCCACTCCATGACGTTTTGCAGGAAACTTGTAACGGAACCGAAACCAAAGCATAATTGCAAATTCCAGTTTTTTCCCCCAAATTTATCAGTTTTGTCATCAGAACGTGTGATAAGTTCTAAAGGCCAGAGTTGTAGTCCAGTAAAATTAGTGGAAAATATCACTGAACCTCCCCCAAAAATGGTACAGAAATGGTTTTGTGTTTATATCGTTTACAATAGTTATGTAAACAATATATATAGAAAGTCCTCCCTTGGATGTTGATGCTAAGTGGCTTTTGGGGATCAAAAACTATGAAAAATGGTATTTTGCAATTATTTTTTTAAATCTGAAAAGAAGTCCAGAAAATGGTATAAAATCTTGCAAAACATACAACTGAAGTGTACAAAATAGTAAATAATGAAAATTAAAGCTGAATGTTTTTTTATGACATGAGGTTTGAACTTGGATGTTGTAGGGTGTGTGTGTTTGAGGCCCTAATCCGCCATTTTGTTTTTATGACGTCACATATGTGTGACCTTTGTGTGACCTAATCGATTTTGACTGTTGAACCCTTAAGCCCCACCCTCCTTTGGGAGTCCCCTTCCGGCCCAGGGGTGTGTGTGTGACCTTCAGGT